TCCCACTCTCTGCTACTTCCACGCACAATTTCTCTATTTTACAAAAACTCCCACCTACCCACTATTTCCTTTGCCTACCTCCCCTCACTGCCCCGGAGCGAGGACATGCACTTTGAGCCAGCAATTGGTCTACGAGAAGCCTGGGATTGGACTGTGCCGGTCCCAGTAAGGTTGGAGTGAAGAGTGGAAAAACAGTGCCAGGAGCCTCACCTGCTGTTGGATTCAAGGCAAGCAAAACCTTTTTATTTCAGGTTTTACTGTTAATTGAGACCTTCCCCATAATGCCTAGTAGGGAATATTAGAGTAACCCTTTAAAGCATGGACTGCAGGTAACTGAACTGCAATACTTTGTAAATGAAAAGGAAAATAGGAGAATTAAAAAAAATAAAATAAAAGCCAACTTGAGAAAATAAAAACAAAAATATGGAGAAATTTAAAAAAAAAATTCAATCTGCTTTTTTGGTTTAAATTGTGTCAATCGGAATTCTAACTATTTAGTTAATACACCTTAAAAGATTGTAAGATTAGTATATAAAAGGACGTTGACTGCAGACAGAAACCAGATACTGTTGCAATCCTTTCCCAACATGACTGCTGTACATTTTGTTGGATTACATTCTCATAATTCCCTGTCAGTCAATACCATTTGTAGTAGTTTCTACAATATACTTACTGATACCAGGAGATTGTCAGTCAATGTAGTCCTTGCAGCACTCTTAGCTACAAAGAAATTGCTGTATGACATATTCATGGACAGGAGAGGTTAGGAGCAATTGCTAGCATTGTAAATGAAGGCAGACCTTACGGTATAGATGTTTAGAGAACTATGCCAACAGTTGATTGACAGGTAAAGAGAGAGGGGATTATTTTGTAACTTTTTTTTTGTTTTTTTTTTAATTTATACCTTTCCTATGAATTCTGCAAAGACAATGTAAATGAATATTTTAAAAATAGCTAAAGTTCTACATGCCATACGATTTTTTTTTACATTTTGAAATGTAGAAACATAAAGGCTTAAGGTTTTTTAAGAAACCTTGTGATCGGAACATATCCCAAACATCTTAAGATAGCGGAAATTATTATTTTTAAAGATTTAGCAATGGATGATTTTACAAGGATTAAACTGTTCTCTAAGATAATTTATAAAAAGAAGAAAGCGAAATCTATAATCAAATCATTGGATGGGAAGGATAATACTACACAATATGGATATTAGAAGAAGTTAAATTATAAGGATACATATGAAAAATAAAGTGGTAATCCTGTATGAAAGATTTTGAAAAATATGTGAACTTTGGGCTAAAGGAGAACTAAAAAGATATTTAAATAAATATTTAAATAAAGATGAAGATAGTTAACCAGTATACCAGATTTTTAAGTGTTGTGAAAAGTACTTAAAACCATAAATAATGGTGGCGTGACAAGATGTGGAGAGGACGGGGCTAAATGATGGTGGTAGGAGAAAAGAGCTCCATCCACATAGCCCTGAATCAACAGCTTTTATCAGCTTGCAAGTACTTTAGGTTGCAGCTGAAAGTTGGGTATGCGACTGGCAACCCAAGAACATGCCCCTCAAAATTGACTGGCAAATAGATGACTTCTTAACCACTGTGGCCAACTTAGGTAGCAGGTGTAAGGAACCCAACATGGCACTCTTTCTGTCATCCTCTGAGTCATCAAGCGTGGAACCAGATCCAGCTATTCATTGTTACTTGAGAACACTGCTGCGCCCTCTGCTCACTGTCTAGAAGTGTGTTCATTTGCATAAAACTTGTATGCAAATGAGGGCAACCAAATAAGTGGTTAAATGCATGTATTGTTGCTTTTTATTGCGTTTGAAATTGTTATTTGTATTATATAATTCATGTATTATTTTTAATTGCTTAATTGCTATATGTTCTTTATATTTTTATTTTATTATAGTTGTTACAGCAATCTAAATGTTATTAGCATATGGTCTAGTCAATAAAGAATGGTATGTTAGTTCTCCTTGGGACTGGGTGTCCCGTATGGATTTGTAAGGATCCCAGTGACAGTCTTCAGGCCTGTTTGCTGGCTGCACAATCCCTCTAGCCCTGGGATAAATTAAATAGAAGTAGGCTTGAGAGCTGCAATACTATAATCACTGTAAGCAGAGCAGCAGTCATATATGCAGAGGGGATGATACCTGCCTGGACGGAAAGCTGCAGAGGGGACGATAACTACTTGGAAGAAGGGCTGCAGCAAAATAGGCAGAAGTGATGATACCTGCCTGGAAGGAGAGCAGCAGCCTGTTCAGGTGCAAGAGTTCCTGAGAGGCACCAGTCAAGCTATGGCAACTGGGGCAGAAGCGCTCTAGGGTCAATGCTAGCAGCTAGGAAGTGGATAGGGCAGAGGTACTCAGTCGGAGTACAGGAGCTCCATCACAGGGTTCAAGTCAGATGTCTGTTTTTTCAGGACTTCTTCTGCAAGCAAGCCTTGGGGAAATTTGAGGTATGCTTGGGATCAGACGGCATGACGTTTTCTCCTTGAATTTCCTGATACTTCAATGAATCCATCTTGCTTTCCAAACACTGCAGGTTTCCAGTACCAGAGGACACAAAGCAGCCCCAGAGTTTCATTGCTCCACAAAAAAAGCATCTCAAAACTTCTGTGGCTTATTTATATGATTTTGGGGATGTTGGAGCCAGGGCTGGTGCAAGGATTTTTGCCACCCTACACAAACAAAAAGTTGCCGCCCCCCATATGCTCTGCCCACCATGTGACATCACAATGCCCCACCCATATGAACTGCTATATGAGCAAACGCCAGTGCTTTTCACTGAAAAGGCAGTGTGTTTACATTAAAAAGCCTGCAGGGACAGGCTATAGACACCAGAACCACTAAATTAAGCTGTAGTTGTTCTGGTGACTATAGTGTCCCTTTAACCCATTAAGGACACATGACATGTGTGACATGCCATGATTCCCTTTTATTCCAGAAGTTCGGTCCTTAGGGGGTTAATGTGAGGTAAATTAGAGATTAGTGCGACTGAAAATATACTGGATTGCCTACTTACCACCAGATAGGACAGGCTCAGGCTTGTCAGTATGTTTTTACTGATAGACATTTTGTGTTAAGACAGAAACTAAAAGTGTATACTGCCAGTCAACCTCAGAGCAGAGGTGATTCCATTTTGTATTACAAGGCTTAGACAGACACAAAATTCTCTATCTGTAACTCTACTTCATTCATGTCTGAGCTAAGGAATGTGACTTATGTAAACAAGACAAGAGATAAGGCATGATGTCTAACAGCAAAAAGGGGAGGAATGCTACAACCCAGAGACAAATGTATACATAATTATATAAATACATTTATACTATAGGGCTGTTGAATGCTTGAATCTGATTGGTTGATGAATGTTCTAAGGTGTGCATTATTTTCAGGTAGACGCACGGCTAAAGTAGTCCCAGACAGGTCTTGACCGCATTACAGTTCCACATCACTTTGCGTAGTCAACTGTAATAACTGTAACTGTAACGGCCTGGAGTCAATTCTTCTGCTTAAACTACAGTTACCACACCTCAAAACATTGTTCAGATGATGTATTTCAAGACGTTTGTCAAGTTTTTGTCATTAAAACGCTCTTGTATGTAGGACTAATTTCTTACGCATCAATTCCCATGCCTTCGTTGCCAATTCCAAAACGTAATTAGTTTTGAGAGTTAGTAAAGGAGATTTGTGCCACTGATAGCAGACAATGCAGTTATTAGTGCAGTTATTAGAGAGACAGAGAGAGGTTGCAGTAATTAGACAGAAAAGCATGTGCGTCAATATTTAATTTATTTATTAATTCATTAGTTTTAATTCATTTGTTAATTTTATTTTTCTATTATTGACAGTAGGCTGTAATGAAAACCCGTGCAGCAGGACCATCTATTCATGTAAATTCAGTTCAATTTTCTATTGATTATAGATAGGACTGGCGGGGATGACGACGTGACGACACGTGAGACACGTGGGACGTGTAACGTGCCGTGCACGCCGCGGGGCTAAGCTGAGCTGGAGTCCCATTTGGGGGAGAGGTGAAACCGCCGAGTAAATAATGGAGACAACACAGCCATCGGATGCTATCCCCCCACAAGTGTGGTAATTAAAGACTGCGTTGAAGGGCTTGATTGATGCGCGGGTCGAATATACAGGATCGAGAGACCGAAGGAAAGTCTGCACTTATTTGCATTTTTTTTTCCAATTTACTATGTTCCCGCCACAGTAAGAAAGGGCGCTGGAATGGTTGTGCTTTTGAAAATCGTAACGGAACTACGCCTAATTTAAAGAAGTTGATCTTTTAAAATGCCTGGCAAACAAAAGGCAGAGTGAAACCTTATACTGGAGCAGAGGTGAGCACAAAAGTTAAGAGTGCAATGAGGCTTGAGTCATATTAAAGCAATAAGAGTTTGTGGGATATACATACAGCTGGAAAAAAAAAAAAGGGAAACTTGAGCAAATACTATATTGCATAATGCTGAAACAATGTGATTCATAAAGCAATATAATTAAGCTACATTATCAAACATATCACTGGTGCAATTAGGACCGAAGCGAGCTTAAATATAAGAAGTCGCTTGCTAAGATGCCTGGTAAATAAAGTGGCCAAGTGGAATGCTATACTGTATATTGAAACAGAGGAAAGCACTAGAGTTAAATGTGACTGGTAGATAAAGTGATAAACTGGACCTCCACATTTGGAGTGGAGGTGTGTACCAGATATAAAAGTGCAATCAATCCTGAGCCATATTGAAATATCAAGAATACTAAGAACTTGTTTGACTAGCATACTATTGAATCATAAAGAACCTAAGTGGATGCCATACTGCTGAATTTTTATGTACTTAAGTCCTCAAGTATTAAAGCGCACATTATGCTCAATAACTAGTTCCATAAGATCTAAAACTGAGCTGCTGTAGTTAAAGGAAAGTCGAATATCCTTTTTAAACTGTTTACAAAAAAAAAAGAGAAAAGGGGGAGGGAAGGAAAGAAAGAAAAAAAAAAGAAATGACAACAAGGAAAACAGCGGATCAGAAACAAGAGTTGAAGTCTCTTTCAAAAAAAGATCGGGAAAAAAAAGAAAAACAGGAAAAGAGACTTTCAAATTTTTCTAATGCTCCAGCAGATAAAAGCACTTTGGAATCTTCTTCGATTTCCACGCCAAACAAAATGCCTTTAAATAAACATACAGGTGAATTAAAGGAGACAGAAGCACAAGAATCTCCAGAGGAATCAACGATCACTCAAGTATATCTAAAACAATGTTTAGATCAACAACTGGAACAAATAAAATTAGAAATGCAGGGGAATTTTGCAAATTTAAAGCAGGAAATAATAAATATTGGACAAAAAGTCAAAATAAATGAACAGAAAATCGAAAATTTTGAATTTCTCATACAGAAGCAAAATGAATGCATAGAGAAACAACAAACGAGGATTAATGAACTGGAGGAGAGATCAACTAATATAGAAGATAGAGGAAGAAAAAACAATTTAAGAATAAGAAACATACCAGAATCTATCTCACTTGGCAATTTGGCAGATTTTCTTGCGGAATTTTTTGAAGCTCTTAAAATCAACATCGATGATAAAAGGGACTTTCTTGAAAGATTTCATCGGTTAAATAAACCAAGAACACTTCCAGAGGATCTCCCAAGGGATATAATTATCGCTTGCCACTCTTACTCTTTCAGAGAAAAAATCTTAAAAGCAGAAAGACAAATGGAAAAAGAACAAGGCAAATTTAAAGAAATAAAAGTTTTTCCAGATTTGTCTTTCCAGACAAGGCAAGCGAGAAAACTATTTATCCCAGCTACTCTGCGTTTGAGGGAAAAAGATCTAAAATATCGGTGGGGATTCCCAACTAAACTTATAGTCACTAAAGAGGGGACTACATATACATTTGACTCATTGAACAAGGTTATAACTTGGTTGGAAAACTTGGTTTAATTATGGTAATAATCTGAATAAGTATGATTTAGTTCTCTGATCAGTTAGATCTAATTCCTACTAAATTGCACTGGGAGAGGTTTAACAGTTTTGTTAATGGAATATGTATCATCTCTGTGATCTATGATTTAATCATTGATCAATAGTACATTGGAGAAAAAAAAAAAAGTTCACTATGAGGGAAAATGTTTAGAGCAATATAAGTTATATTGTAAAGTTAAATAGGCAAGTTAGGTGGATTATTTTCACGATGTAGCACTAAAAAAGAGGAAAAAAAAAAGGAAAAGGATGAAGAGAAGGAAAAGAAAAGGGAAAGGAAAAAGAAAGGAAGAAAAAGAAAGGAAAGAAAAATTATGGCAATAATTTGAATAAGTATGATTCAGCTCTCTGATCATTTAGATTTAATCCTTATTAAACTGCACTGGGAGAGGTTTAATAGCTTTGTTAATGGAATATGTACCACTTTTGTGATTTAAGATCAAATCATTGATCAATACTACGTAGGATGGAGAAAAAAGTTTACTATGAGGGAAAATATTTAGAGTAACACAGGTTATATTGTAATAGTTATATAAGCAAGTTAGGTGGATTATTTTTATGATGTAGCACTAAAGGAAGGAAGAAAAAAGAAAAGAAAAAAAAAAGGAAAAAAATCATAGATATAAGTTACACTTACACAAATGGATTAACTAATGGAGGTAAAATTACAACTATAGAGAGTAAACTACTGTAATAGTAGTTATGATCATTGGATTTATTCCAGGATACTTTCAAAAATGTTGAATTATGGAAATTTCCTTGATAATATAGAAAGATAAAAACATGTGTACGTGGGTATAAAAAAAAAAAAGAAAACTACAAAAAAAATTTTTGTTGTTGTTTTTTTAATAAATTCACAAATAGTTTTTAAGTTAGAAGTTTGGGGAAAGTTGGTAGGAATTCCTACATATTGTGAAGAGGACAGAACTGGATAGTTCCTTTAGTACATATAGAAGAGACTAAAATGTTGATGTAGTAAAAGTCCTGTAATTAATTAATGCTTGTTGGAGGGAAGTAATGGAGTAAGATGCGGTATGGTAGAAGGTGAAGAAAATAGATTGAATTACAGATAAATAAAGCTCCAAGCTCAGCTTTTATTTATTTTTTCCTCATTTAGGAATTTTCTATATGAGGACTAGATTCCAATTAGGGGATTTTTCCCTTTTGGATCTATACCCAGAGGTTAACACCCTGGGTGTGTTGAATGAATGCCTCTCGCATATGAGAGGATGGGGTATGTTTGGTATGAAAGTGGTAGTTGGGGTGGGGGCTCATCTTCAGAACAGAAAGAAGTTTAGAGGAAAGTGCAACAAGTATATGGGTGATGGATATCAGATTTGGAAGAAACCTAAGAATAGATTAAAAAAGAGAAATGGTTAAAATAATATCGTTAAATGTTCAAGGTCTAAATTCCCCTAGCAAACAAGCAATTCTGTTTGATTACATTAAGAAAGAAAAAGCTCAAATCATCTTTCTACAGGAGACACACTGGAAGAGAGAGGATAAGTTAAGATTTACTCCACAAAGTTTTTCAACAGTAATATCTGCCACATTAGAGAGTCAGAGAAAAAGAGGTGTAGCCATTATGATAAGTGATGATTTGGATGCTAAAATCATATACCAAGAATTAGATGTAGAAGCTAGATATATTATAGCAATAATCAATATTCAATCAGAAATATATACGCTAGTAAATGTGTATGCGCCTAATAACCCTTCAAATAGATATTTCTATGATCTTTTTGATAAAGTAGATAAAATAAAGCAGGGTAAATTACTCCTCGCAGGTGATTTTAATCAGATACTAGATGTAAATATGGATAGGAATACTTTAAACCCTGAAGGATCAATTAAAGTAGTAACTACACAAGCTGTACAATTTCAAAGGATAATTAAGAAATACGGATTTATGGATATATGGCGAGTGCTTCATCCACTGGAGAGGGATTTTACATGCTTCTCCAGATCATATTTCTCATAATCAAGAATTGACTTATTTCTGGGCAGTGTTGGATTTACTAATAGTACTAAAAAAGTCCTCATAGATGAAGTAACTTGGTCCGATCATAACGCCATAATTTTGGAGTTGGACATAGTGGATAATAGGGCAAGAAGAACTGATTGGAGATTAAATGATAATATTCTCTCCAGTAAGGAAAATAGAGATTATATAGGGGAGATGACAGATAGCTTTTTTCAGGAAAATGAGGGGGGTGAAGTGTCACTTCCGATGGTTTGGAATGCATATAAATGTGTTATAAGAGGTTATTTAATTAAGCTAGGTACAATTGATAAAAAAAAGAAAGGAAGACCCTTAAAGGACTTGTATGTAGACTACTATAACTTATCGAATGAAAACAAAATTTCACCAACTCAGGAGAAAAGTATAAAAATGTTATTATTGCAAAATCAAATAAATGAATTATTATATGAGGAGAAAAAGAGAAATCTCCAATTCTTAAAGATCAACTGGTATTATAAGAGTAACAGGGCGGATAGGCTGCTTACAAATAAATTGAAAAATAAAAAACAAATGAGGAGGATTCATAGAATCGAGGTAGGAAAAGAAACGTTATTAAGCCCGAAAAAAATTGGGTTAGCTTTTAATGATTGTTACAGTCGATTATATAATTTAGAATCAGCTGGACAACAATCTACATCTTCGGATTATTTCAAAAATAAAAAAATGCCAAAAATTACTAGGGAACAACTAAATGAGATAAATAAACCAATAACTTATAGCAGCTATAAACAAGTTACAGATAAATAAAGCTCCTGGCCCAGATGGTTATTCAAATAAATTCTATAAGATATTTAAAGATTCCCTGTCGTCTCGTCTCGCTAGGATATTTAATACAATAGTGGAAAATTGCACGTTCCCTAGGGAGATGCTTCAAGCAAATATTGTTCCTATTTTGAAGCCGGATAAAGACCCAGCCAAATTGGTGAACTATCGCCCAATATCTCTTCTAAATGGGGATGTAAAGATCTATGCCTCAATTATTGCAGATCGATTAAAAATATGTATTCCGACTTTAATACATCAGGATCAAGCCGGCTTTATTCATGGTAGAGCACCATCAGATGGATTAAGAAGAATAATGGATGTACAGGATGCCGCGATTAGGAAAAGAGCTCCCCTTCTGACCCTGTCATTGGATGCTGAGAAAGCGTTTGACAGGGTCAGATGGGATTTTTTGGGAAACACTTTAAAATCATACGGTATAGTAGGAACAGTCTATGGCCCTGGGATAGAGGCAGATTGGTTCATTATCAAGAACGGAACCAGGCAAGGATGTCCTCTTTCCCCGTTACTTTATGTTTTAACTATTGAGCCTCTTGCAGAAGATATAAGGCAAAATGGAAAGATTGAGGGTTTCTGGTTTAAAAATTTAGAACATAAGATCAATCTATACGCTGATGATGTTATGCTTATGGTGCAGAATCCTAGATCATCATTGCCGGAACTGATAAGAACACTAGATTACTACAGTGAATTTTCAAATTATAAATTAAATATTAATAAAACCACAATAATGACAACTAATTTACCTAGGGAAGATAAGGATTTTATTAAAATATCTTATGATTTTGTTTGGGTTAAGGAACATATCTCATTTCTTGGTATAAAAATAACAAGAGATATAAATAGAGTTATCGAAGTTAATTTCCTCCCTCTTTTAAAAAATACAAATAAAATATTAAAAGAATGGGCTGGTAGGGAGATTTCTTGGATAGGTCGTATAAATACTATTCGATCATATATTTTGCCTAAATGGAATTATTTTTTTAGAATGATACCTATACAAGTTCCCAATCTTTGGTTAAAAATGATACAGTCAGCTTTTTCTAAATTTATTTGGAAAGGTAAAAAACCAAGAATAAGCCTACAGTTAATATCTAAGAAAAGAAAGGATGGAGGCCTTGCTGCTCCAAATATAATAGAATATCATAACACATGTATGCTGGCCCACACTGTTAATACGTTAAGTATAGACCAAAAGGATCAATCTTGGTATCATATAGAGCAATCACTAGTAGAGACAAGCAGCCTATCCTCCCTGTTTTGGACAACAAGGAGGAATCAAAATAAAAATAACTCGGTTCACCCAGAAAATTCGACAATTTTAGATAGTATACTGAGATTTTGGCAGAAATTTAAGAAAAATTATAAAATAGAATATAGAATATTTCCCTTTCTACAATTAGAGGTGATTAATCATAATATTGAAGATATTAATATCAGAGGTTGGATACAAAAAGGTATTAAGTATATTCAACA